TTACTATTGCATACTTTATAAAGGCAGAATGTAATCCTTAAAGATTGGATGTGTTATCGAAGACCCCTATAGCTACATAATTTAAGATTAGTACATGCACACACATTAAGTGTATATACTCAGACTAATATTTATTAATTCTTTTTTTCCAATAGCCTTTGTTATCACTAGCTAGAGGAGAATTTTGAACCTTTGCTTGACCTGGAAGATGATGCTTCTCTTTCCTCTGGTTATATTTCTCTCTTCATGTAGCCTTTAATTTATATTATTTTGTTATAATAAATGATATAATTGAGCTTGAGGCTGATTATTTATTTTTATTTTTGCTAGGCAATACAAATGCATGTTTTCATGTTGTGTAGAAAGTTTGAGTGGACTCCCATCAAAATTTGAATTGATTTTAAATGTTGTAAAAAGCACTACATCACACAGTGGCGAATCTATGGGGGCCAGGGCCGTGGGGGCAATGACCCACAAATTTTTTTGAAGTAATGTAAACTTTGGTTTGCCTATGTAAACTGTGAAGCAGCTGCAGTACTGAACTATGTAAACAATTAATTTTTAAACCACCATACAATAGAGCTCATTTTAACAGGCTTTAGTCTTTATAATAATTTTTACTTCCCTAAAAGTTTTGCACAAAGCTTAATTGACCACGCCCCCTAATTACCCCTCCCATCTCATAATTGCCCCCCAAAAATTAAGTCTTAGATCCGCCCCTGCTACATCACTTAGTACACCTTAAAATTCATTTTTCGTCTGATTGCGCAATACCTGAGGTCAATGGTGCAATAGCTAGTCTCCACGTGGTGTAACCTTTTCATGACCAATCAGATTCATCCACACAAGGGCTCTTCCCGCCAAAACCCAGTGGCTATATAGCGAGCCACATTTCCTCTTCTACTCATTTCTGGCGTTTCTTTGGGCGGGAAAGGAAGGACTCTCTCTGCTACAGTTAGTCATGGCCACATGGCTTGCTTCTGTCTTCTCTCCTTCTTTTTTCAGCCATTCCTTCATTGATATTTTCCTTTCTTTCTTCCTTACAGGTTATCAGCAGTGGCCAGGTCCTTCAGTCTTTCTGTAAAAGGTTATGGCGGGTTGTGACCTCTTCTTCAATGGCTGCTATGGTTAGTCATGGCCACAGCCTCTCTCCTTCTTCTCTCTCTCCTGTCTTTCAACCATTTCCTTATTTTATATCTTCCTTTTCTTTACAGGTTAACAGCAGTTAGTTTTTAGTCCCTGCCTTCTCTAAAAGGTCACAGGAGATTCTGACCTCTTTCTGCTGTGGTTAGTAGCCTCTCTTTCTCTTTCCCCATTTTTCCCAGCTAATTTTAATTCTCATTATTATTTTTACTCATTTTCCCCCATACAGGTTAGCAGTCTTAGGCTAACGCCCAGCCATGAACTTACCTGATGTTTGAGTTTCCCGCCATTTTTATCAAGCCACGCCCACAAAAGGATTAAATGGGCCAGACTCTTCTAATGAGAAAGACTCGACAAATGAAGAGGAAACAAGTGAGGATTCGCCTTTGATGCATCTTGAGACACTTGTCTGCATAGCCTCTTGTTTAGTTGTTTTGATAGTGCATTGTAGCTACTGTACTTTAGTGTGTGTACTCTGTGTATATTGTACTGCCTATTTCAACTTGCTTTTATTTCATTTTAAGAGCTGTAATTGTCAAGTTGGATCAAGGTTTTGTTGAAGTCCTTTTATTATCGTGAAACTGAATGTGTCTTGGACTGGAAGCATGTCACGGATTGATGGAGTCGTTGCTATGGATTCTCATGGATCAATCAGCAAGTGCTGCAAGTCAATAGTTGTACTGCTAGCCGGGCTGGCCGACCAGACCTGGCTAGTAACGCACTCATACAATCCTTGCATGTCATTATATGTATGTCCCCATGTGCATGCGTATAATACCATTAGGGAGGGGCCGGTTACACGAAACATCACGCGTATGTATTAATGTAAAGAACCCTGTAGTGTAGGTACATTCCCCGTTATTACCGACTGGCCTGATACGCTTGTATAGCTTGTCCTGTCATACACTAGGAAATGTGTGCTTAGTAATATTTGTTGGCCTTGTGAGCAAGATGCTGTCAAGAATGGAAAGCTGGGTGTTGCAGTAACGCATTAGTGGGGGGTTGTACCCACCCTCCATTAGTGTCTACTGTAATGACCAGCTTTCCATTCTTGGCAGCATCTTGCTCACAAGGTCAAACTACCAAATGTTACTGGAGACATGTTGCCTGGTCTGTGCGGGAGTAGGACTTATTCATGTATTGCTAATGTAGTGTATGTATGTGTGTGTCAGGTCAGTCAACAGTTAGTCAAAACTGACTGCTGTTTGCAGCGTTCAAGAGAGGTCAGGTAGCTGCCAAAATACAGCATGCCTTCTTGTTGCTGTAGGTAATAATGGTAATATTTCAAAATGAAGATAATAGCCTTTCATCGTCTACCATTGATCTTCTCTAGGATTACTCAGGGTCAGATATCTTTTCTCCTCTTTCCTTTCTGTCTTTTCTTCGTTCCTCTTTTCTTAATTCCACTCTTATTTCTAATACTCTAATGCTACCTTTCCTTAAATTGAGTGAGAGAGGAGTGACAGTGAGAGAAAGAGGGCTGGACTAAAGTACGTGTGAAACTTAGCTAAAATTAATTTTACAAAAGAGAGAGAGAGAGAGAGAGGAAAAAAGTTTGGCAGAATACTTTATTATATGGGGAGGGATTACTTGTGAACTTGTAGCAGATTTACAATCACATGATGGCTCACAATAAAGGGACATGGACTGGTCTTCCTACAATTCATTTCATTTATATTACTGAGATTCTTCTGGCTTTCTTTTGACCATCATTTGGATGTTACACCAATTTTTGCAGTTAACAAGGTGGGCACAAATGAAGACTACACAAGGCCCTACATGGAGAGGATTTTGGAGAGCAGAAAGCAGCTAAAATTAGTTATACAGTCATCACTCATCATTCAAAATCTAATGGAATCAGCTCTTTTGAGAGAAAGGGATGCTTTTTTAGAGGGAAAGAGAGTATTGGGATCAGACTAAAATTCAAAAATTTAAAATTAAGAAATAATTACTCCTCATAATGCATCATTATGACTAACAGCAAGAGTGGATAATTATTTGCTAACAGTATAGCATATTAAACAGGACTCAAAATTTAAAGTAAAAAGAAAAGATTAATATGAAACTTTGGAAATATTTTGTGCATTGAGCATAAATAAAGCAGATGAACATCCTCAAAAAAACCACTATATGGTACTGTACAATGAATCTAGGGAGAGCTGATAAGCAGTAACTAATTTTTGAGAGAGAGAGAGAGTTCTTTTTAGAGAGAAAGGGATTCTTTTTATAGAGAGA